TGTCTTTAATGTGTTTCGCAAACAAACCGATAGATAATTCTTCGGCACATTTACCTCGAGTTCCCATAAAAGCCATCGAAAGACATGTCGACAACGAAATCGGAGAAAATACCAAATTCTTGTCATTTGTCGACAACTTGTGGTACAATTGAACACTGAATTCAAGTAAAGGTTTCTCAATTGAAGACTTTGTAAGGTTTTTACTAAACATTTTATCTATGCTAGTTGTATATGAATTGATTTGAATGTTATATTGGTAATATCAATTTGATATATCATATTTTATCTTAATAACTTGTTGGAACATACCCTAAATATTCTGTATGTAACATATGTTGCATTTTATTTGTTTGCTATCATAAAGAGTAAGAAAATAATGCGATATATCACTGAACTGACCCTAAAGTATTGCATTAGAATAGTCCGATCAATAAAAAAAGTTTTATTATATGTTTAATTTTGCTTTTATTTTCTAATATAGCGGTTAGAAATCTATTTCAATAGATTTACAAACAAATAAAAATAATTTAATCAACTCCATGTATTTTTTTGCGAGTTTATTATGGAGTTTCGGGAACTTTCAAACAAATATATTCATCAATAAAAACACATGTTATTCCTTATTATAACCAAAAAGCATTTAATCTTATACAGTAACATAATTCAAAGTTAATCAAATATACAAAGTACTCAAAAATTTTTTTAATAAAAAGTACTTGAAAATATGTAAAAGTATTAACACTTGAATACAAACATTTCTTTGAATACTGTTCAATTAAAATATACTTATTTCCTTAATATTAAGTTTTTACAAATTAAATGTTAGAATTGGGTTCAATGCTGGCACCTAACAGGCAATCATGAAATTATTCTTTACTAGAATTTATTATTTTCAAGTTATTGCCGATTCTTATTAAAATTCAATTGAAATAAATTTTCTACATATTATTATTTAATTTGATTTTTGTTGATTTTTAGTATAATTGAAAATAATTTTAATAAGCAGTTTTTAAAGCACTTTTTAGTAATAATACTAATAAACTAATACTTTAGTAATAAACTCTATAATTCTTTTTGTGTTAATAACCTTATGTTAAATGAATAATATTTAATAATTTTATAAACAAGATATTTCGTTAGTTTTGTACTTTATTTTTTAAAATCAGAATTTAATCGATTGCACAAAAATATTATAAAAATATAAAAACAACAAATCATGAAAATATAAATTTATGAATGACTATCGTATTTACAAATTATTGTCACATACACAGTATGAATGAATTTTTTTGCGGTGATATGTCTGTTCAAATGGCTTATCAAACTTTTCAGAGCTCTTATTCCGTATGAATTTAATTGATAATAAAAAATAATTTAATTAAAAACATTATTCAAAAAGGTAACAAACAGTTATAAAAATGATTTATAAGTAGCTATCGATGTCAACATATTTCTAAACCTTAATCATGGCATGCATTTAGCGATGAATGTAATCAAAGTCATATGAATTGGTGTTTAAAATGACTATGTACTGAGAAAAACTCATATTTTTTCACCGGAAGAAGCGTTTAAATTATAATAAATTGAATGATTGAAGTGCTGGAGGTCTACGTAACCGCACTGTAATTCAATCATTTGCGACAATTTCATCCTAATATCCGTGAAAGTGAGCCGATTATCGCAATCGTAATTAAAACACATTGTCATCAACTCGTAGAAGTGGTCACTGCAGTGCTCCGGGCGGTCGATCATCCGACCCTCGTTCACGTATTTTATGACTTCCTGTGCGCTTAACCCGATATAGGGTGTGGAGCCGAGTGTCACGATCTCCCAGATTAGTATACCATAGGCCCAGACGTCGCTTTTGGTAGAGAACAGACCCATTGATAGGGACTCAGGACTCATCCACCGGACGGGCATCTGTCCACTTGTTTTCTGCTCGTATTGATCGCAGTCTTTGTCTCTAATACTCCGCGAGAGACCAAAGTCGGCGACTTTACACGTCTTGTTCTCGTCGATTAGTATATTACGGGCGGCTAAGTCTCTATGGATTATCTGTTTTTTGGACGTTATATCAGATATTAATAATTGGTTGATAATTAAAAGTGATTTCAAAGACACTCACTCCATGACTACTAATAAACTCCATGCCTTTGGATATTTGATACGCGAATAAAACCAAGTCTTTTGAAGATATAGTTTTGAGGCGTCTTAGACAAAATATTAATAACGATAATAATAATAATGATATTATACAAAACAGACAAGACACAAAAGCGTTCTTTCTGTTATCAAACGGTAAACTATGCTTGAGGTAATAATTCTTTATTCGCACTGTTTGACAAAACAAAATAATTAAATTAATATTGACTGATATTTGTATGTAATTGATATGACAGACCTGTCTCAGTGCAACATCCAAGAAGTTTGACAACATTTGGATGGTTTCCCAACTGAAGCATTATATCGAGTTCTTTGAGAAGATCAATTAATATTGACTGATATTTGTATGTAATTGATATGACAGACCTGTCTCAGTGCAACATCCAAGAAGTTTGACAACATTTGGATGGTTTCCCAACTGAAGCATTATATCGAGTTCTTTGAGAAGGTCTTCGGCATCCTTATCATCCGTATTGACTGCAATACGACAATAAAAGTAAGTTTTGTTTGTTTTAAAATTAGTCAATAAAATAGTTTTTCATACTTTTATTGGTTTTGATGGCAACCGTTTGACTCTTATTGCTATTCTTAATGTTAACGGCTCTGGCTTTCCAGACCTAACACAGAGATTAAACCAATTATAACACAATATAATAATATAAATCCTAAAGTACGACATACCTGTCCAAAGTTACCCTCTCCCAGAATCTCAATCATGTCTAAGTTCTTGCGCGAGACTTCCAATGAGTAAACTCTGCGGCTTTTGACCAAATATGACGGTTTATAGCTGTTATACCAGACGGCACCCGACGAATCACTACCGGTGCTGAACTTATCAGCCCTTTCCACCAACTTATACGTCAATTGATTGATGGGAATGTCGTTAATAAGGAAAGGGTTGGGAGTATTAGAGTCACTCGTATTCTTGGCTTTGGATCTCTTCGATGCCTTATCTCTAATGCATTTACGCTTCAGATTCCTGAGCGCCCACATGAAGCCCCCGATGACGGCTGGGGACACACCTATCACTGCTATGATGTAGATCTGAACCGTCGAGTTGTTCTGATACTTCTTATCATTGTCTGTGGGTTGTCGCTGACTGTCCTCCTCGTCGGCAGCTTTAAGTATGGCTTCATTGAGGTCTTTGTCGAGTGTCTGTCGGACTAGATATACACGATATTCAGGTCTGGATGCGTTTGGCGCCGATGTTATGGTAGTGGTGATGGTGTCGATTGTCGTATAGTTTTCAATGGCATTCACGTTCACATCCAACAGCAGCCCAGAGATGGTTATCATTAAAACATTAACAATCATTGCTTTCAGCGCACACTTAGAGTCGGTTTGAAAACTTTGAAAAGTTTGAAAACTTTTGCCACGAAAAGTGATGAGACGTTTTGAGACGCATTTCGGTCGCCAAATGGCGGACAATAGGGATGTTTTTCGCAGCCAAACACACAATTACATCACATCACAGATTTAAAACACCACTTTTGCTGCTTAACTGCAGTGTATTTTTGTGAATTAAATCCAAGGCGATAGTGAGTGTGTGTGTGATGCCTGATGTGTGCAATAGTGTGCTCTAAACCCACATTCAAGTCTCGAGGCTAGAGATCAGGCATTCATTACATCCGATGCATTGGTTATTCAAAACTTGTTTAACAACTTTCGCATCACTTTTTTACTATGAATTCCTCTATTCTTATAATACATTTACTGATAATTCAAGGATTTTTTCTCATTAATGAATATTTGCTTTATTGAATCACACAATGAAAGGGCTTAATTTGGCTCATAGTTTTCTACCAATACTTTGCATTGTACCCAAAGTCTATGGTGTATGAAATTGGACAAAGGGTTGGGCACTACCGCCAACTCACGAGCCGTCAAAGTGTGTAAAAATATCCTAATATTAATCAATGCATGCTATGCTGTGTTATATTTAAAACAATGAAACATTGAATTTATGTAATGTAAAAAAGTTTGGAGTCAACTAACTATTATAAAAGTTTTCAATTTTTTAGTTTACAAATATTGTCGGTTCCCTGAGTACTAAAAAATACTGCATTATAAATGGTACTTATTCATTCATAAAATTCACGACTAATTAATCAAAAGTTTTCCCTGTTTTAAATGAATAGCTAATGAATGGCAAAATAATAGTAGAATAAGTTTTGAATGAATCTGGGAATGTGTTTATTGACATAGGGTTACAGACAAAGTACGTGAATTCCTATGAGCTAGCTAAATTCTTATTTGTTAATTTTAAGTGTATTAAATGAAAATTAATACTTGATTTGATTTACAGTAAACACAATAATTATAGTTATTATAAACTTACAATATGGTATTTTTAATGTTATACTTCAAGTATAGCAAGTTATGATTGATAGAAATTAATAACATATCAAATGATTGAATTGCAATTCAATTGAATGATAGGAGTAATCAGTTTTGAAATTTGTTCAAAAAATGTATAATTATATGTTAGTTTAGAAATGATATGAAAATAAATGAATCATTGGTTGCAATAAATTGAAAGCAATAATTTGTGAATTTATATTAAATTAAAACTTATTTTAAGTTACTGTATAAATTAAACATAGTGATAATGTTTAACTACTGATTATGTAGTGTTGGTAGGCGTTTCCAAATGATACAGCAATGTAGTCATTGTAGATTGCATTGAAATATTTTTGTGCTAGTATAATTTAGATTCTCTATGGATTCCTGTTTATTGTGAACGCAGGATATGATTAACATTGAACTTTGTTATTGGCAGTTGTAATAAAACAATAAAATTTGACAACTCATATAATTCACTTCAATTCATACAACGTTTGACAGTAGAGTTTAGTAACAATTTATTGTATTATACATTAATAACATTCAAAAATGTCTTCAATTGAGAAGTCATTACTTGAATTCAGTGTTCAATTATACCACAAGTTGTCGACAAATGACAAGAATTTGGTATTTTCTCCGATTTCGTTGTCGACATGTCTTTCGATGGCTTTTATGGGAACTCGAGGTAAATGTGCCGAAGAATTATCTATCGGTTTGTTTGGGAAACAAATTAAAGACAATAAATACGAAGCGGTGGCCAAAGAGTTGCGAGAATTGAACGACAAATGCGTGAAAAGCAATTCAAACGCTTTGAATGTCTCTAACCTTATGTTCACTCAAACAGAGTTCACTGTTTTGCCACAATTTCAACAGTTATTGCAAAACTACTTCCAAGTGATGGCCAAGTCTTTGGATTTTAAACTCCAGAAATCCGTTGATGTGAACCTTGTATTTTAAGGGTCTCTGGAAGAAGCAGTTTAAGAAAGAGAGGACACAAACGGATGTGTTTACCACTTATGATAACAAGAGTCTTGACGTTCAGATGATGTATCATAAGTCGAAGTATCCCTTTGGATACAGTCCTCAACTCAATGCCAGAGCCATTGAATTGAGTTATGAAAATAGCGGTGCAGTGATGGTTGTGGTTCTGCCCGAAGACAACAATTCTTTGAAACAAATTGGAGACAAACTGACCATTGAATCACTGAATCGATTGGTGTCATCGATGCATACCATTGAAGTGGAGCTCTATTTACCGAAATTCAAAGTGGAGTCAAGTCTTGAATTGATTCCTCCGCTTCAAGACATTGGCATTAAAAGCGTTTTTGATCCCAATTCGGCTGACTTGAGTGGACTCAGCAATAAACCGGGTCTTTATGTCTCGCAAGTGATCCAAAAGGCTGTGATTGAAGTGTCAGAGGAGGGCACAGAAGCGGCTGCTGCGACAGTGGCCACCATTGCCCTCATGTCTATGCCTATCACTGAGACATTCAAAGCGAACCGTCCGTTCCTGTATTTATTGGTCACAAAAAACTCGTCGAAACAAATCAATTCAATTGTATTTATGGGTGAATGTCATAATCCTAACCAATGAATGGTTAAACACTTTCTAAAAGTACTTGCTTAAATATATTTTATTTGCAAAACAGAGCTTAAAAGCATTGAAATACAAGTTTTATGTAAAAAAGTGTTAAATATTTGTAATAATAAGTAGAGATTAAGGATAACTTTTAATTCATATTTCAAAAAGTAATAAAATAGTTAAATACAAAAATTTAAGATAAAAACTTTGGTTTCATTTGAATCTTTGAAAGGCAGAGATAAGGCTCGAGAAGTACCGGTAGTTATCATATAAATGCATTTAAATACTCGATTTGATCATCAATTTCGATATCAATGGTATCCATGGATTCAATCACTCTTTGTGGCCATTATTCTGTTTGTGGTTCTCATCCTTTGGTGGCGATTGGTTGGACTTCATCTGTCTCTGCATTTGTTCAATCATTTCTTGCATTCTCTTCAGTTCCGCCTCTTTCTCCTGAAGAATGCGGTCCTTATAGGCGTCATCGGAGGAGATACTGATGTTGTCTCTGAGGTCTGTATTCGACATATTCTTCTGCACCAATCTCTGGGACCTGTAGTTCTCGTAGTGGACGTCTTGAGTGACTTCCCGGAGGTCTTGCATATGTGTGACGAGCATTGACCGCAACTTAACAAAGTCCGAGTGCTCGGGGTTTTCGGTCTCAACGATACCCCACGCGTACGCCCGACCCCTCACTTTACGACCCTTTACTTCGTGTGTCTCCAGAGATGACGAGACACCGAAAGGTATGGCAGCCTTCAGTTGGCGCACCTGTTCCTTGTAGTCCTCGTCCTCATCCGGATCTGAGTCGGGGATGGAATAGATCTGAATGGCGTGTGACTTGAGTTCGGCGAGGATTCGCTTCTTAAGCGCCTGGAGCTCGTCTTTGGTCAAGAAGTCTGATTTGGCGATAATCGGCACGATATTGACCTTCTGGTGCAACGCCTTCATTGTCATCACATCCTGTGGTTTGAGTCCATAATTATTGGGAGATATGAAGTAAAACAAGCAGTGGATCCGCGAGTCTTGGGTTTGGCGCCGATTGAGACCCGACTCGTGGTTCAGATACTTCTCGTACTGATCGTCGATATAAGTGATAATCGGTTTGCAATTATCGCTCGAATCCAATGAGTCACCAAAGCCTGGAGTGTCCACAACTGGTACCACAATAAGAGGTGTTATCAACACATTCATAGACATCAAAGAGTGGTAACTATGTCTTACCGGTCAGCTTCAGTTTAACACCCCTTTCCTCGATGTCTACCGTTTGTGTCTCAATCTTAAGAGTGGACTCGAGCTGTTGGACAGCCGTCAGTGGTTTGCGATTGCTTTTGATGCCAGTGTTGAAGATGCAGTTGATAAGAGTGGACTTCCCGAGACCACTCTCTCCCACCACCATCAGCGTGAACTCAAAGCCCTTTTTGTGGGCCTTCCGGTGCACCTGATTGGGAAGGTTCCCGAAGCCCAGGTACTGTGTCTCCTCCGATGCCATACCAGTGGATGTCTTGAGTGGTGATTGTTTGACACGAAGTCTTAATGTGTGGAAGTGGTGACCAGTTTACGAGACAATGTATGCAACAAATGACTGTTACTTTCAATCAGTTGTCTAAACACAACATGCATTCAATGAGAGGTCGCATAGAGTCTGCGCACTGACGGCACATATCATACAAACTTCAAGTTTGGCCTCTCATTCAAACACTATTACAGTAGACTTGCATTCAATGCTAACTTATTGAACGGATATTCTGTTACAGAATATTCAATAGTTTATCGTTTTGAACACTTTTAGCTATAATAACATCACATATAAGTTATTATAAACTATTACTTGAATATAATTTGAATTTTATATTATGGAAAACTTATAAACTTTATTAAATGTAATAAACTTCATACAAAAAAACTTTACAAAGTATTCACGAACATGCAAAATAAAATTGTAAAAAAGGTATATAAATATTTTCACTCAACACTAAATTGTTGAATCTCAAGGGAGTCCATAGTATTCATCGATCATCTCCTGTTGGGTATCAATGAGATAAGTGTCGATAATACCCTTCCCTTTGATATCTATAGGACCCCTACACACGGGTTTAATGTCGTAATTCAATGCATTCAACAGATTAGCCACAACTTCGGTGGTATGGATCTGTTCTGTCAGCCCATTGGTGTCCATACGACTGGCCACATTCACTGCACACACAAACATACAATTAATATCACTTTTATGTAGTGAAAGTCTGGAAATAATTATCAGGGAAAGTCTGACAGAATATTCTGTATATGAATTTACAATATTAAATATAATACCGGTGTCGCCCCATATGTCATACTGTGGCTTAACTGATCCGACAACTGAAATGCAATATAAGACATACAATAAGATATAAAGTGCGAGCAATGTGTGGTGAATGAGTGGTCGTACCTCCGGCAGTGACGGGTCCCATGGCTACACCGATTCTGAGCTTAAAGTTGAGTTCATTGCCGGACTCGTTGTGTGAGTTGAATCGCCTCAACGTCTTGGCCATAGCCATCGCGAAACGTATCAATACAAGCAAATTCTCGATCTCCTCCTCAGTGCTGATTACACTCTAAGATAATTACATTATTCACTCATTTGTACGAATCAAATGGTCACTCATTTTCATACATCGATTGAACGGATGGAGGCGCGGCCGGGCTTGAGGCCCGCGGCGGCCATATATGTGCTGCCGATTGTCTTAATTTTCTCAATCTTCTCGTTGTACGCCGGAAGTAATAATAACTAAAATTATTGTTAAAAAACAATGCGTTACAAAGTTTGACAAAACAATTAAATAGTGTGCTTGATGAATTACTCGATCAAATTCGCAGATAATAGAGTTGAGTATTTCCAAGAACTTGATCCCCTCGTCGTTCGTAAAACTCAATCGATTGTAAAACTTAAAAAAGTTGGGAATCGACGCAAACATGACGGCTATGGAGTTGTAGGCCTCGTAGTATAAGTCGTCGTCGATAGGGTCGGGACCGGTGAGTAGGTAGCGCTCGGCCACGTGTATGGGCAGCATATTCTTGAGCAGCAGCTGATTGATATTGCGGGTCACTCTGGCCTCTTGGCGCTCCCGTTTCAGTTTGATAGACCACAAGAAGTCCAGTCGCAGGATGTACTCAATTTGTCGGTCAATCACGTAAAACATGAGATACACGACAAACAGGTACTGCATGTGAGCCAAGCGAGGGGTGAAGAACTCCAGTTCCTTGAAGTTCTGGTCGTGATAGAAGGCGTCGATCTTAAGAAACACAGAACAGCTGTGGAATTCGGTCAACGAATTGATGATAATGAGGCTAATGGTGCCCAAACCAAACTTAAGCCATAAGTTAATCCGTATGAACATTGAAACGGATGTAAGCGCAAGTACTGTTGAATATGTGTAGTACCGCGACTGTAATCAAGCAACACTTTAATTAATACATAACTTTGATAAGACTAATTATTGTCAAGATATTCTATAAAGACACTATAAAGATATCTCTGTATTTATACCCATTTATAAAGACACTCATGACTGCCACCATTGTTACGATCCAAGTCTTCGATGGTTTTCTCTTGAGTGAATTTATCAGAAACTGGACATTGAATGACATCGAGACATGAGATCAGTATCAACGAGAATGTGATTAAAAACCACATCAAAATGCGATATAAATATTTAATCTGTTAATTAAGTGTCATAAAGTTAATATAAATAATTAATTTTAAATAATTTTATGGTAAAGACCTCATAATTCTTCTTATGAGTGATGTATAGCGAAAATGCGATGAAAATAACGGTAAAGTAAAAGACAATACTGCCATTGGTGTACCAGAATGTGCCCCAATTAGCATGCTCATCATATAATGTCAAGAACCTGATGGTCATAATTGCTACACTAATTAGCCCTGAACTATATAAATAAAAGGGAAACATCGGGTCGTTCTCCTGGAAGTATAGGCGCTCTAGTTTTAAGTCTAAGGTATGGATGTGTTTAAGATTAGTCTTCAGCTGGTTTGGCTTAGTAGTCGGTGACTCGGAATTTCGTTTGGGTATAAAATGCAATAAATGTGGATTTATTTCCAGTGAATGGTGCGAACAATTATATTGTCTGTAAAAAGTTTGAATAGAAATATTTTAAAGTTTTCGAAAGCCTTAAACCAAATGTGAAAATATGAAACCTTTTGAGATTTAGCGGCATTTTGTCGATGGCATGCGATATGGTATCGCTCGCGAAGCTAAGCATTTCACGGAATTTTTCCAAACTTTTTTGTTTAAATTGAAAAAGTTTTATAAATTTAATATACATTGTAATTGTGAATAACACTGTCGTGAAAGCAAATCCTTACCCGACGTGATAGCTTCCATCTAAAACAGTAGCCCTTCTTTGAGACCCTATACTCAGTGAACCAATTCTTGATGAAGACCTCGATGATAGGGATGAGTTCTGATTCAAAGACATTATTACATTACTATATGTATTAGTAATTTATGGCAATAGTTATGTCATAATTAAAATCTATGTTTGTTTTAATAGATTTATAACTCATAGACTTGAGTATTGAGTCATAAATTATATTAAGAATATATAATTCAAAGTTATGATAAAACAAAATAAATGTTATCAAAACTACTTGTAATCATAAGTATTATTAGTCTACTGACTCGTGAATTGTTGTTATATCGGGTTTTTTCAAAAGTCCTTTCCGTACGTGAAAGCTGTTTGACGTAATACTTGGCCCCCGAGATATGTGGTCGGGATTTACGGATCAAATACGTGGTCTCATATGGGAGTACATTATATTCTGGATTAATTTAATCAAAATAATATTACTGTAAATTCCTATAATTTTTTTTGTAAAATTATTGCCAAACCTTGTATATGAAACTCTGATTTCATTTGTTTGGGCACTAAATCCAGTGTGGTCTTGGTCACATGTACATAACCAGGCTTACCATCATGCTCCATGTTTGCTGCTTTCATACTGTCGATGGACCAGATGTCGTACTGCCATTTCTTGAGTCCTAACAGCCCCGAGTATACCATTCCTGTGTGAACCCCTATTCTCATGTCCACATTCACCTGATTATCTTCACGTAAATTCCTAAGTTATTTATAGTCATAATTAATACTCAAACGAATGGCATTTCATAAGTGCATAATAAATCACAATTTACTTTATAATATCAATCATATCTATACCCATATTAATGCTATTCAATGCGTGATTCTCGTCGTATTCAGGTATACCGCACACACAGTAATAGCAGTCACCTAATAGCTTAATCCGTAAGCAATTATTAGCCTATAAATGTGTGAATCATAAATTGAGATAACATTTTGTGAAGCACATTGTGTACTGAAAAGTACTAAATTTTTAAAAAAATTAAGACTCACTTCCGCTCGACTATCAAATCTGGTGAACAACTCATTCAGAGTTTCCACTAATTCTTGTGGTGTTTCCATCGACTGTGTCAAAAGCATTGAATTAACGATATCTGCGTACAAAATGGTCACATCATTGAACTTTTCGATGTATAGTTCCGTGAATGGCCGGGAAATGGAGCTCTTATTCTCGCGACTGGCCATGTGTTCAGTGAACCGGTCTTTGATATCTTTTTTCACTCTTTTCATGAGATGTTGTGGTAGACACGAGCCCAGTAGGCGTTCCTGTTGGTCCTTCTCGAAGTTGAGCTTAAACTTGGACTCAACACACCGGCGGTGGTCGAGGAAAGCCCTCCGATTGACAATTTCCAACAAAAATGTCACAAAATATGCGATACAAGCGGCGCACACATAGAAAAACACATCGGATGTTAAATACTTATATCTGTCGTAATAGTCTACAAATGTTGAGTTTGTGGCCATTGTTGTGCCCGGTGTTAATGACTGACAGTTAGTGTCGGAAACATGTGGCCACACGAGTGTCACAGTTATCTCGATACTTATAATAAAAAGTGTGGCTATAACTGAATAGACACGCGATGGGAATGGTAGCAAAAGTTCATTGCAAATAATGAGATAATATACGGGTCGCAGACGTTTCCATTTGAATGAGTTTTTATCGCCGGTCACAGTGAATATGAAGCCCCCGTACTCGGCGTATATCATAGCCATGAGTACGGCTATAGCGGCGATGGTCCGCGCAAATGATGGTCGGAACCACTTCTCGTTGTGATGGGCGAGGATTAGGAACGATATGTAGACTATGAGGGCTGTCAGCCTCAGCATCGCTGGGAATGGGAATGAAAAGTCTGTCTGAGAGATGTGACAAAAAAGTTTTGAAAAAGTTTTACAATTAGAAAAGTTTTCTTGCTATGAGTTGTCCGATGACTTACTTTGTAAAAGAAATACCAGAAAGAGTCGATGAAATTGACGACCATATTAAACATCAACAGAATTGTGAACATCCGGTGCTGTAGTCTTGATGTATAGTTCTTGAATAGTATGTCATTCCCTTTGGACTTAAACTCATCCCGCAATGGCTTCAGAGACCATTCAAGCTCATCGAGATTTTCATCCCTATTAAGTTCGTTGAAGGCCTCCCTTTCCTCCTTATCGATGTCTACATACAGGGAACCGGTGCTCAACAGACGTCTTCTGTGGTTGTATGCACTCATTGTTGAAAACTTAGACACGAAATGACAGACAATAAACTAATTCATTATCACATTATAGTATATCCTTCACTAGAATCTCAAATACCACTGAAATAACTACCGGTCGTAATACTGTTGTCTATTTTGAGTGCAAAAAACAATTTCTATTTATTTAACTAATGATTGGATGGCTTAGAGAATTGGCTGACAATTATCGCCACTCAATAGAAACTGCTAATCGTTTTTGATAACTATAGGAATTCCTTTGGTGTCAAACCCTCACACTTTGTTTCATAATATTTAACTAATGATTGGATGGCTTAGAGAATTGGCTGACAATTATCGCCACTCAATAGAAACTGCTAATCGTTTTTGATAACTATAGGAATTCCTTTGGTGTCAAACCCTCACACTTTGTTTCATAAAGTGATTGAAATTTGTGCAATAATTATTAAATAATGAATTTAAAAAATATATTTTCTATTTACTAGTATAAGCTAGTTAAATAATAAATGAAAACATTAAATCCGAAAGTATATTTGTTTTATACAATTTGATGAGATTTTTCAATATTTGTAAAAACTCTAATCTTATATAAATATATCAGCAAACAGTTAATGCATCCCATTATTTATTTAATGATATGATTGTTATGTCAATTCAATACGATATAAATTTTCATTACTGTAGGACTTATAAGTCATATACTGTACTATTTAAAGGCTAAAACTTTTGTATCGTAAGAATCGTATGAATATTATTGTGTGAAATGCCGTCAAATCTTGCGGTTATCAACTATTTTCACACCTTTTCGAGTGGCAGTCAAATGGTGTGATATATCGTTGATAATGACATTGAGAGTTGACATTAAATACAAATATAAGTCCAATTAATTTATTTTTTATATTTTATTTTCTAAACAAACTTTGTGTTATCAATCAATGCTTTCTATTGATTAAAATTGAGTGAATAAATGCTAAAAAGAAAACTTTTTAAAAGTTGAAAATACTATTTTTATTATTATATTAATAAATCTGATATAAAAATCTTTATAATTTCCTTAACTTTTTCCTATTAATGTCTTATCAGAAAATGTCAATATTTATATTTACTGGAAAATACATAACTTACCACTAACTTATACTAATAATAGCAATTATAATGAACTAAAATAATTAATTTTAACTCTAATTATAAATGTATTTTGTTTATAGTAAGTTATTTATATGATAGTTGTTTACAAGGATTAGATATTTTGTGACATTATTGTCATAAATATCCGTATTTTAATTCAGAAATCAGTTGTTTTGTGAAATATTTTTATATAACAAATATTTATACAAGAATTTCACTTATTATTGCAAGTTTCCGTAATTAACTATTTAATAACTATCTATCTATTCATTAATGATTTATAAATAATTAAAACCCATTTAATAAAAATTAAGTCAATTTTATGAATGAATGTCATAATCCTAACCAATAAATGGATTAATATTCATAAGAATTTGTTTAAAATATTATTTTATTTGCAAACATTTTTAAGAGCATAGAAATACAACTTTTAAAAAGCAATAATATTTATAATAAAATGTAGATAATAAACATAACATTCAATTCAGATTTTAAAAAGTAATAAAAATATTAAATTTGATAAATTTTAAGATAAAAACTTTGGTATCATTTCAATCATTGGAAGGCAGAGATAAGGTTCGAGAAGTACCGGTAGTTATCATATAAATGCATTTAAATACTCAATTTGATCATCAATTTCAATCACTCTTTGTGGCCATTATTCTGTTTGTGGTTCTCATCAATTGGTGGAAAATCTTTTAGAGGCCTTTATTTTATAAGTGGCTTTTAGACGGTCTATCACTTCTTGTTTGGATTTCACCTCTTTCTCCATTTGTTCAATCATTTCTCGCATTCTCTTCAGTTCCGCCTCATTCTCCTGAGGAATGCGGTCCTTATAGGTGTCATCAGAGGAGACACTGATGTTGTCCCTGAGGTCGGTATTAGACATATTCTTCTGCACCAATCTCTGGGACCTGTAGTTCTCGTAGTGGACGTCTTGAGTGACTTCCCGCAGGTCTTGCATATGAGTGACGAGCATTGACCGCAATGTGAATGCTTTGGGATTTTGACTATTAATTTGATTACTTTTGTAAAATTATTTTATGTATTAACAAATGTAATTATTCATAAATTATATTATCTAAAGTAGTTGAAACACTTTTATTTTAAAATGCTTTTATTGAATCAAAAATACA